AGATAACTAATTGACCGAATTTTCTCGTCTCCTGATTATTAGATTAGATTACTTTTCACCCATCATGAACATTCTCCCGTCCGAGAGCCAGTCTTCAGCGAATGGGGAAATGAATGGCAGACAGAGATTAACCATAAAACAGGTTGGATCCAAACTAATAGACACGAAGATAGGCACGTTCATACACCGACCGTACTTTTCTGAAGGCTCGAGTTTGCAAATATTTCATGCAGTTCCCTTTGCGGAACTCGAGCGACGGCTTTCCAGAAGACCCTGGGTTTCCGCAAGCCTGGAAAAGCAGAAAAAAATGGGGCGAACGATAAAAATGGTTTTCTAAAGAAATGCATATTTTGGTAGCCCATGCCAGTTCAATTGCGCGCGGTACCCGATCATTGGTGAAACTGAATTATTTTTTCCGACCAAGTTGTACATTATATTATATTCCACACGAGCCTGGAACATTACTTGCCTATCGGAATACGTGTACGTATTCAGCAAATCACTACGAATACCTCTTGACCTTGAACCGTCTGAGGCCCTAAAAATGAGATGCAGGAGTAAATGTGGAATAGTTTGAAAACACGAGCAAGATTAAAATAATAAAATAATAATAAAGTCAAACAGGTGCCTTAGATTTACAGAGAAAGTGACTAGATGCACGACCAGTGCGGTTTACCATTGATTAGATGCATCACAAGATTTGCGATCAGGGAGCCTGAGACGCGGGTATCTGATAGGAATATCATCTATGAACTGCAATCTGTCGTATCGTTTGAGGCACATTCCACCCATTTGGTATCCATTAATTACCTCAATTAATCTGTGGACAGAACAAGTTGAGACATGCATCAACAATCAATCCGGGAAACCGGTAGACAGGAAAGCAAAACCTCAGCGATAACCAGGGCTCAAAACCGTCGAAGACACGGAGTACGCTACGCGGAAATAGGTACTGCCTAGTGAGCTAATGAAATCTACTGGTTAGTACAACGGCTATAAAAAATTGTCCAACTAACAGAGGTGTATAGACCCCTATCGAATGACGACTGAGTCTGCAGAAACCATGCAACCATAGACTGTTGACTTGCCCGCTGTTTGTTGTGTAAAGGCTAAGTGTGACCATAAACAGCGGGATGAAGATGCACCAAATTTCCATCAGACATCATGAAATCGGCTTATTCTGATCATGGAGACAGACAGAAAAGCAAAGTAAGCTTAATGTGCCCCTTATGAGTGAGCCTCTTGATCTGGGATGCTAAACTAAGAAATCATTCAAAACAAACTAACTCCGAATAGAAGTCAAACGAGCAAATACTACACAGTCTGCTTGTTTAAATCCCGTGTGCCATAAAAGACAAAGACATAGAACTATACAGTGGAGAAAAAAACAGAAAAAACTTTGGTGTATCTGATTGCAATCGGTTCTTTCGCATCATTGTCGTAAGTGATAAACATGTATCCTTGAAAAGTTGTCTCACTTCCGTGAAGGAGGCAGTGTGGTGCGTTGGAAAAGAAACACACGAGCCTCAAAGCTGCTTTGGCGCTTCTGGACTTTCTTATGCGACATAATTGTACAGTCTTCCGCCAAAGTTCTTTGAGTAGGCGACACAGTTTGCTACATCACATTGAAAATTGCGATTCAGAGAGCACATGACGTCAAACTGACAAGCGTCACACTGGAGCATTTTCATTCCTTATCAGATGCTAGTACAGATATAAAGAAATGCTGCGAAAATTCATACAGGGACCAACGGACTAACCTGGAGTCCATGCTGAACAAGCACACTGGAAACACTTGATACAATTTGTAAAATGCTCTAATCTGCATCAAAATAAATGCCTGATAAATGAATTAATTTTCAAATGTCAAAATCTCACTTAACTACCATTTACTGAACGAAAATTCCCGATTCACGATAGTATGATGATCACTCATCAGTTGAAAAAACGATAGACTAATCATTCGAAGATCCCGAAAGAAACGAACACCGGTTCCGAGTGTCTTCGGTCACATTTGATTTATCCACAAGTACAGATTATCCGCAGTAGTGGTGGATGTGGTGAAGTTATATCCACAAACTAAACTGACCCGTGCTGAGAAGTGGTGGTAGCGAGGTAACAGAGGGCAGAGATTTAATGATATTTAAAAAATACACTTCAACATTAGATTAAGGTCGTGTAACGTGAGTAGATATACGGAGACTCTCGAAACTCCAACTTTGCGCTGACCACGGACCGTTTCTGTCAAGCACGAAATTCTCGCACAAAAAACGGCACCGCCAACTTCTTCACAGGGCTGGACTCAAATCGACCACATCACCATCAGCCACCGCTGGAGAGGATCCATTGAAGACTGCCGCTCCTACTGGTCGACACCTGTAGAGACGGACCATGCTCTCCCTACGCCTGATAAACAACCGCCGAAAACGGATGCCCACAATACACTATCACCGACAGTTGCAAATCGGCCTTCGAAGCGGAACTATCAGATCGCCTCTCAACTCAACCATCAGCCAAAGGACTCAGCGAACACTGGTTGGCAATCAAGGAAGCGATCCAAATTTCAACCAAAACAACGGCGAAACCGGG